GGCTTTTCTACTGTGGAATTCAGCCAACAATCATCCTTTCTAGAAGCCTTTGTTTTGCTGCAGTTGGAAATGAGATCAGCAGGTTCCTTGCCTCTGATAGATGCAATAGTGATCTTTTGCTTCCAAGAAGTCCATTGCCAAATGACTTAACTAATAAACAGCATTCTTTGCCTATTAATCCTTAAAACAAGGACAATGGATATAGTCACTTTCTGTTCTCTCTCTGATGCTGAAGATAAGTAAACTCCTAACTTCCTCCCCACTGCAACCAAGGTACATACTGTGCACTTCCTACTCTTAACAAGAGACTCTTCCAAGATTTCTGACCTAACCCCACCTCTCCACTGGTCACTACAAACAGTGGCAGGGGAGGGGGAGCCACTTCACAGATGATATCAACCTGGAAATTAGCTAGTTTCCTAAGGCTTGAGAAGAATCAAGCCTTGATTCATGCCAGAACAACATAAGGTCTGAGAGGCTCATTAGTTCACTGGCACTCAGTAGACTGCAGTGTCCTAGGAGTAAACGAAACCCTCTGCCTCTTTATGTCTTTGTTCTGTTCTGACAAAAGAAAACTGTACCTGTTTTTGCTCAGCACAAGCGATCTGAAAGTTCCCATGGTGAGAGTTATTTCTCAGCATGTACAAAGTGTGAAATGTATTTGGAGGGAAAAGTTTTTAATTACTATTAGCACTTCTGAGCCTTGAGTTGATGGAAGGATTGAAATTGCTTTACAATCTCTCACATTCAACTCTCATGCTGCTGGTGTCAAAAATGTCATTTTCTAGTAATATGGCTGTTATCAACTAAAATGCCAATTTTCAATTTAAAAAAAATAAATTCCAAATATATTTCAGCATAATGTGTTCATGGTGCTTTTAATCCCATGCTCATGCCACTACATTCTATTTCCTCTCGCTACAGGAAAATATGACCCCTTGAATAAAGATACCTTGCACGTTGAATTTGTAGGGCCATGATGATCCAGATCTAGGGTTGCAGGAAAATATGGCATCTGGGATTAGGGGGCTCATGTCTGGACAGCTCTCAGTGGGACCCTACCAAATTCACGGTCCATTTTGGTCAATTTCATGGTCATAGGATTTTAAAAGTTGTAAATTTCATGATTTCAGCTACTTAAATCTGAAATTTCACAATGTTGTAATTATAGGGGTCCTGAACCAAAAATGAGTTGGGGGGGCACACAAGGTTATTGTAGGGGGGGTTTGGTACGGCTACCCTTACTTCTGCACAGCTGCTGGTGGTGGTGCTGCCTTCAGAGCTGGGCAGCTGGAGAGCGACAGCTGGAATACTGTGTCCAGTTCTGGTGTCCTAAGAAGGATTTTGATAAATTTGAGAAGTTTCAGAGAAGAACCATGAGAATGATTAAAAGACTAGAAAACATGCCATATAGTGAGACTCAAGGAGCTCAATCTATTTAGCTTAACAACTAGAAGGTTAAGGGATGACTTGATTACAGTTTTAGTACCTAGATGGGGAACAACTACTTAATAATGGGCTCTTCTTTCTAACATGATTCAGTGGCTGCAAGCTGAAGCTAGACAAATACAGACTGGAAATAAATCATAAAATGTTAACAGTGAAAGTAATTAAACATTGGAACAATGGTGGATTCTCCATCACTGACCATTTAAAAAGATAGATATACTTTTTAGGAATGATTTCAGGATTGTTCTATGGCCTGTGCTATTCAGTAGGTCAGACGAGATGATCACAATGATCCCTTCTGATGTTAGACTCTATAAAAACTCAACTATGCCAATTATAAATGTTTTTCAAAAACTTAAATATTTTTAGTTGTATTAATGTTATTGTGAATGGGACCTGTGGACATAAGCACCAGCTAAATGGGACAATTCATGTGCTTACAGTTAGGCATATGCTTTAAGTATTCTTACTTCAGTTCCTGCAAGATAATTTGTTATGAAATGTGAAGTACTTGAAATAATGGCACTGAATGGAATAACACTGGGAGCTTGGTTTTCATTTGATAAGATCTAATCCTCTTATTAACTATAATAAAATATTGGTGCCTCTTTTGGGGAATAATTGTGGTCTATTGATTAGGCTGAGGGGCTGTGAGTCAGGACTTCAATATTTGAATGCTGTCTACAGATTTGTATAACCTGGAGTAGGTAATTTAAACTCTCTCCCTCAGTCCCTAATTCTGCAATAACATACGCACTCGCCTAGCTTTACATGCTGTGAGTAATCCCATTACAATTAATGTGACAATTCATGGTGTGTAAAGGGAGCATGTGTGTAAATCTATGTAGGATCAGGGCTTCCATTTCCTTAACTACAAAATGGGGATAATATGACACACATACTGAGGTTGTGAGACTTCTTTAATATCTGCAAGGCAGTTTTGATGCTTTGATAAAAAGGGTACAAAAGTGCAAGGAATGATTACCAAATGTCATCCTATTGTTTTGTGGGTATGCTCTAACATTTCTTCAGCAAGTCCTTCATAATGAAATACAGAAGTTTATTTTTCACTGTAATAATCTGACTCATGGTTGTGAACTTCTATTACATTTGGGGAAGGACTCTAGCTCTTACAGATTTTAAACTGGTAGTTTCTGGGATTTTGTGTACATGATGAAATGACCAAAACAATAAATATGCTATTTCCAAAATTATAGGTTTTTTTTTTAATCTTCTGCAATTTTATAGCAAGATCCAATACAAATTACTACAAAATTACAGCCTGGTAAGTCATGCACCAATTGACTCACTTTAACTATGGAATGTTTATAGTCCGGTGTCTTCCATCTTCACCCCAAAGACTCTTTGAGAAGAGGCATGTCACATTTCAAGAGGTGGTTTTGGAACAGCAATTATATAAAAGCACAGTGCACTCCAAAAAATGGAGACCTCAATATATAAAGCATAAACTGTCCAGCCAACATTTATTATGCAGCAGCACTGCTGTCACGGTGGTTTGTTCTTTCTAAATGAATGATGTTCAGATGGATGCCCAAAAATACTCAACTTTTTATCATAAGCTCATCTTAAATACATACATACATACATACCAAACCATGATCCTTTGCATTGGTGAATGGTCTGAGATGCTTTGCTGTCTTATGAAAATGCAGGTGCTTCTCTCCCTCCATTTGTAGTGTACAATGTGACACACACATATGGATATCAATACATTCACTGGTTTAATGAGAGGTTACACTTAAAAGGCTGTAGGATTATTTTGTTCCTCAACAGGCATTTTTACAAGGAAGAGCAAATGCAGGCATTTAAATTAATGAATGCAAAATATCTTGAAACTCCAAACTAATATAGTTTAGAAATTAGAAGCAATTATTTTCAAATACCTTCAATAGATTTCAGTCCAGCATAAATTTAAAATGTAAACACCGACTGACCATGAACTGTAATAACACAAATAGTGCTGGTGGAGTATGATACATTAGTCCAATCCTGCATTTCAATGAACCACAGCATCAGGTTCCACTTTCTTTTTATCCTGTCATTGTTGCTGCTAATAAAGAAAGATATTAAAGCGAACTATATGCTCTATTAATTATAGGAAGGTGAACTTGAGTCAAATTTGTTACTGACAATGATTAATAATTACTGGTTCTGCTACATAGTCATGTAGTGCATTACAGTAAATAAACATGGTACATTGTTGGATAGTAATTGATTAATTAGCACATTCATACTACACAGCTCAATGGTCTAAGATTGCTGAGTTTGAGATATTGCTCATAATTATTAAAAGAAAAGAAATCTGTTCCCATTTCTCAATTTACCCTTCTGTACAGTCATTTTTTCTCAAACAGAATGTTTAATGGTTCAAAACCTTAGGTTTTGTTTAGATAAATCATATCACAGAATTTTTAGTTATGATTTTAAAATATTCCTCTTCCAAGAGCTTTAAAATATTCAACCCAATTTCAACCTCAGATGTTGCTGTCAAACTTCACTAAATAATATCAGTGTGTTTATATAATATGGCCTAAATCAAATGTCTCCCTCACACTCAGGTTAATCTCTTTCATACTCCAATTGCAACACGTGCCAAGAAAGCATGGGGTACCCTCTTCAATGCACAGAACATACATGATAAAACATAACGATTAGTAGCTTGATCGGCCCATTCAGGGTTCTTTGTGATAGTTTTTGTAAATGAACATTATTAACGCATTTTCTCAGTACTGGCTATCGATTTATCTGCCTTGAACAGGAGGTGACAAAGGGCAGGGAAGTGTGTCTAATTTCCATTTAGTTTCTGAAGTTATTTTTTGGCCATTTCCTACAGCAGTATCCCACAACAGCTCACGTTAGCACTGGCGCAGGTAGATTTTTCTGGAGTGAGATTTCTCATGATCTCACCCTCCCATTTCCAGGGTTTCCAGCAGGGACCCCCACTTTCCTCACAAGGACTGTGCAGACTCAGGGACTCTCCCAGGTGACCTACCATTATCTCCATCCCCCGTCCCTCCCCAGGGATCCCTATAATCAGGAGCTTCCACAATCTCCCCCAATAGCTCTGGTGACCTCTATCAGCCCCTTCAGAGATCCCAAATTAGGAACCTGCCCATCAGGGACTCCAGGTGACCCCCAGTATTTCCCTCAGGGATCCCAGAATCAGGGACCCCAGGTGACCCCAGTATCTCCCTCAGGAACCCCAATATCAGGGGCTCCAGGTGACCCCCAGTATCCCCCTCAGGGATCCCAGAATCAGGGACCCCAGGTGACCCCCAGTATCTCCCTCAGGAACCCCCTTTATCAGGACCCACAGGTGACCCTATTACCCATTCACACACCCCTAACCAGGGAACCTGCCACGTGACGCCTCCCCCAAGGACTCCCATTCTCCCCACTCAGCAGACCGGCCCGCGCTCCCGCTCGCGTGCCCACCAGCTCCGGGAGCGAGCCGTGCCCACACCCCTCTGGTGCGCGCGCGGGCACAGCGCCGGGGGGGCGCGCGCGGCCGGGGGCGGGGCCAGGCGGGCGAGTGTCGGGGGCGCGCGCGGCCCGGGCGCCGAGCGGGTCTCCGCCGGTAGCATGCTGCGCCTGCGGCGGCTGCGCGAGGCGGCCCTGAGGCGGCTGCTCGCGCCCGCCGGGGGCGCCGCCGCCAAGCCCAAGGCCTCCGAGGTGCTGAGCCGCCACCTGCGGCAGCGGGGCCTGCCCCCCTGGACCTCGTACTGCGTGAAGTACAGCGCCGTGCGCAACGACCAGTTCGGCCTCTCGCACTTCAACTGGCAGGTGGACGGCGCCAACTACCACGTCCTGCGCACGGGCTGCTTCCCCTTCATCAAGTACCACTGCTCGCGGGCCCCGCGCCGCGACCTGGCGCTGCAGAACGCCGCCTTCACCGCCCTCAAGCTCCTCAACGCGGGTGAGCCCGCCCGCCTCGCCCCGGGCCCCCCGGCCGGGCCCCCGCCGAGCTCCCCGGGGCCGCCCCGCGCACACGGGCGGTGGCGCCATGAGTCTGCGCCAGCCCCCCTCAGCGCGCGCTTGGCCCCTGTCAGAGGCGGCGCTAGCCCATGGGGGGGGGCCCTCCGCAGGACTGTTTGGGGCCCCCCTGCAAGGCTGATGGCCGTGGGCACTACTGCCACCAACCGCGCACTGCACCCCACAGCGCGCCCCAAGGCGCCTGGTAACAAGCCCAGGTTCAATGAGATCAGTGATATTGGGGGGAGGGGGTACTACTGAATCCCCCCCCGTGTGAGCTGTGGGGCCCAAAGCAATTACATGGGCTTCTCGTGCCAGCACACCACTGGCTCCTGGCTAAGATCAGGGCCCTCATATTGCACTGAGCTTAACCCTCATCGGGTCACCCTTACCTTGGTCCTTTGCAGCCTGGTAAACTGTTGTTCGCAGTAACTGATGGTGGTGGTGGTGGTTTTTTTTTTAACATAAACTTCTCTGGTACAAGAGTATTAACTGGCCTTTTAACTGTTGCTTAGTTAACAAGTTTTTAATAGGTTTCAGAGTAGCAGCCCTGTTAGTCTGTATCCGCAAAAAGAACAGGAGTACTTGTGGCACCTTAGAGACTAACAAATTTATTAGCAGATGTAAAGGTAGCCATCTTACAGCAAAAAAACTTCAGGACCAGACTCCAAAGAGAAACTGCTGAGC